ACAGAACGAAACACATTGACGTGCGTTATCACTACATACGTCAGCTAGTTCAGTCAGGCTTTCTCGCTGTTCGATACGTACGTACCAGTGAGAACATAGCTGACATACTCACGAAGGGACTTGGGCGTGAAGCGCACAAGTACCTGAGTGAGAGAGTTACAGGCAGGGTTAGATGGCAGTGAGTTTGTTGAAACGTGGAAGGGCAACAAGGGATGAATGAGTCTGCATCTGTGTACCTCCTTGGTGTGTTGTGGTCACTTGGGAAGGAAGGCCATCGTGGATGTGTTGTGATATGCTGTAACTGTTCCATCTGTGCACACACCACACCATTCGTGCTCATGCTTATGCTGATCTGTGCACTTGTCCACTGTGTGTGCGCGTTCGCTACCCAATGGTCATTTTCTGGATGCCTTTGTGCTTTCTTCGTGATTTTCTTTTCCTGAGTACACGCCGTGATGGTTCGTCTTGAGAGGGGGTGTCAGGATTGCCAGCTTGGCAAGACGAACCACTGCGAGCTTGTGAGCTAGGGTATATTGCTGTGTAACGGGTGGAGAGATGAGAAGACAAGGAAAGACAAGGAAAGCATTCTGAGGAGACACGATCTTATCAGCCATCACCGAAGTGAGATCTGTGTTGACCACCCTTCATGATGCCACACATGGACAGAAACAACTTTGACTGACTGGCCAGTCCATCGGTCTTATTAAAGTAAAAGCACTCTTACTCTGGGACTTACCGCCCAGCAGATCCTCTATTCAGCTAAGTACAGGAAAGGTCCTCACCGGCCTTTTCGCACAGTTGCTTTATGGATTTGATGGGTTTATGCGAACAAGGCAATGATTGCTTTACCTGCTGTTTGTTTTCTGCGGGGTTTCTCGCCGTTAATGACTCACCAGAGCCACCCTCCATCACATTGACTCTTTTTTCCCCGCTCAAACGACCCTGAAACGACGGAAAACCATGGATGATATGGATTTACGGAAAAGGTTGCCGATCGCTCGTGAGGGTGATTTCTGGAGCCTTTCAGTCACTTTTGAGGATGTCAGCGGCAGATGGTGGCCTTCCTGTGAGGCAAACTAGCGCCGATCTCACCAAAAAAGTAGATGTATGGATGGACAGAGTCATGCACCAACGATGCAGAGCCATGAACGACAGATCTGCCAAGATGAGGTACGGCAGCACGACTCACTCACTCAAACTCAGTCACTGAGCACGCTTGAGGTGTCCCTTCTGTTGTGCTTCTGTCCTGATTCCTTTCTTCAGTCGTCCGAGTGCTTTCTGAAGCCGTAACGAACAGTGGGCACCCACGTAGCGCTCGACGGCCGCCATCCCCCTCATGGCGGCCTGCGCATCACCAACAACAACTGGAAGGAGCAGCACGCGCAACGTGGCGTGTGCTGGTATCTGTTGCTCGTGCTGCTCCCACCTACCTTTATCAACAGCGGCATTGGTGTCGGCCTCCTCGTCTTCAAAGTCGGCTGTCGGCTCCTTGGGCATCTCCCCACTCTTGCCGAATGCGATGGCCGCTGATTCGCTCATCGCCAAACGGGTCTGGAGACCTCGCTCCTGCTCGATCTCATCTGCGATGTCGTCCAAGCCCACACCACCTGCAACCGGCAGCATTTGAGTTCTGCGAGAAGCTTCTCGCCCAACGGAACCCCCTGAAGTGAGAAGGCCTATATGAGAAAAAGAAGCCCATCCATTGTTTCCATGTGTGTGATTGTGTTCTCCTTTTGTGTGTACCTGTATGGTTTCCTCGTCATCGACGGTGCGATCCTCCTCTCGCTCATCCCCTTCAGCTGTTGGCGCCGCCCAGCCGTCACCTTGGCCTTGCTTTTGGCCTTGCCCTTGGCCTTGCTCTTGGGTCTGCTCTTGGGCTGCGGCGCTGGCTGGTGTGCCGCTGCTGCCATGGCTGCTGCATAATCGTCATCTGAGCCGTCAGCTCCGTCGGCCTCCAGCTTCCTTTTTGACGGCTTGCGGTGGCGTGGTCGATCGAGCGTCTCGGCTGGCCGATCTTGGTACGGTTGGCGCACCATGGTGCGCTGCGATGTGGCGGGTGGCTGG